TCTGTGTTTGTTGCAAAAAAGAGCAAATATTGTCTTTGCACGTGACAGCCGGGGGGTGTAAAACGTGCATGGCTTGGCAGTAGACAGTCATCATTCCAGCGTGCTTCAGGCAACCCCTGATCAGGTTAATTTTCTTATTACTTTATTGTTTGTGATAGAAATCCCACTGAGAAGCCAGCTTCTGCCACCAGACCAGGCTCAGAGGTTTTGTGCTAAAGAATGGGCTCTGTGCAGGGTGTTTGGTTCCCTTTATGGAAATGCTGTGCTTTCTTTCATCTTTCATGGTACTTTTTGATCAACGAATCCAGGCAGCTGCCCATAGGAAAGTGATGCCAAGGAGGACTGTATTTCCTCACTCTATTTAACCCTAACCCTAACCCTACACTTTCCATGTCCAGCTGATATGTTTCTTTTGGACTGAGTGACCTCAGCTGTCCTACTGCAGGAGGATCTCCCAGTGTAGTAAGAGTTATCTTACTACTCTAAAATAAACACTCTGTCTTCTCCCTCTTAACATTTTGGGGCTATTCTTATTAATTCCTTGAGTTCCCCCGTCCTTTTCATTTTTTTTTTCTCTTGCAAGCTCAGGAGATTAAAGTGGAGGGAGACTCCAGAGGTGGGCAGCTTGGAGTCTCCTGCTTTGGGAAGAATGTTCCCTGATTTTGGGATGAAAGTCTTCCGACTTTCCACTTGGGTCAAACAATTTTGCTTTGGACTCAACTCCAATTGTACTCTGCAGAGGGAAAAACAATGGAGCATCCTTTCTCCTAGTCCTTTCCAAAGGTTTACTCCAGCCAGATTAATTTTGCTCTTGGTCACGTCCTACTTTGGTGTCACCTGTCCCATCACCTGGGAGCACCTGGATAAGTTCTGTGAGGGTCTGAAGCTCTCCAGACAATCCTTGTGTCCACCTAATGAACAAAGCCCTGGCTCTTTCCATCCCCACTGCTATGGGAAAGATGCTGGACACAGCAGAGATTAGCACAAGTGCCGTCAACTTTTCCACCCTCTTCATCTCCAGCCAGGGCTGCCACGGGGAAGACACTGGAAAATGAGGTGAGAGATTACTTTGGACATGAACTGTGGAAGCAGAGTAGGGAATTAATATCCTTATTAATTAATACCCTTAAATCACTCCTCCAGGTGGAGCAATGGCCATGCCACATGTAGCAGGATCCTCCCAAAGCTGTGGTCCTTGCAGAGCAGAGTTAGGCTCCCGCCTGGAAGAGCCTTATCCTGACTCCTGGAGATCCCTGGAGGCTCCATAGAGATGGTTCACGCCTATGAAATGAAACCTGAGTATTTGTTGGACACATCTCAGGCAGAAGTTTAGGCTGGGATTGGCCAAATCCTTGCCAGTTCCCCATTGTCCAGAGCATGGAAGGACCAGTCCTCCCCCTTCCCTGCCATGGGATGGGTTTCTCTTCCTTTGGAAAAAGCCCTGGGAGGTGCTGGTCCCCACGAGCTGGGTGGGGGCAGCAGCCTGTCTCCCCCAGGAGTTTGCTTCCCTTCTAAATGCAGCTCCTTTTGGAAAGGAGTCAAGTGCCTTGTATAAACAGCCTGGGGTCAGGATTGCTCCGAAACGAGGGGATTTTGGGGGGGGTCCACGTGGGTGCACGCCTTTGGCCTTCCTGTGCTGCTCCCTGCCTGGCTGCAATCACTCCTTGCCTGCGGCTCCAAAAATACTCCAGGCTCCCGTGGGAGCCTGTGCTCCGGAGGGTCAGCACTTGGGAGTGCCCCCGGCTCCTCAACCTCCCACCGTGCCTTCGCCCTCGTGTCGGCTTTGCGTCAGCGAAACCTCCCTGCGAGTGAGCTCGGCTCTTCCTTAAGAGCCCCTTTGTGTCATCAGGGAAGATGGATTACGGCAGCTCCCTCCCCTCCTGGGGCTGCTCGGCGGGAACATGGGGCAGCACAGCACATCTGGTGCAGCGGGAAGGGCCAGGCCGGGGCTGCTTTCCATGCACCAGCAGGTTGTGGGTGGTCAGCATGAACGTGTGGGGATGGAATACATGGGAAGAGAGACAGGGATGGGAGAGACCCATGAGGATCTGTGAGGGGACACAGGAGAGTGGTGCCCCTCATGTCCACCAGCCTCAGGGGGTGCATGGACTCCTTTTGGGGAGCCTTCCAAGTAAGGCCCTCTCCCAGTTTTTTGCACTCAGAGCCTTCAAGGTTTGGGATGTCCTTACTATAATTAAAACAGTCTGCTGAATTCAGGGGAAGTCTTGAATCAGGCCTCATCTCCCCTCCAGACACTTGGAGTGTGTCTGGAAAATCCACGCTCCAGCCGCACAAGTCCTGGAGCAAAGGTTGTTTTGCCTTTCTCTGGCTGTTTTGGGTAGCAGGTTCTTCCCAAGGAAAAAAAAATCACCCCTGCCCTTCCCCTCCCATTCTCTGGGCTCTGCACATCTGAGGGCTGAGGCTGCTGTGTGGTCTCAGGGTGGGATCACATCCCTGGAAGATCCATCCGGCTTTGCCGCCTTTCCGGTTAATCCTGTAGACAGGAGCTGGATTAGGAGGACCCATGGGCAAGGGGAAGCAGTCACACCCCGAGGTTTTCCTCTCCCTTTGCTGGTGCTCTCCAGCTGCATTTCTCCCACCTCATCTTCCCTCCTGGCAGGCAGCCCCAGCTTGTCCCCAGGCATCTCTGGATCCAGGGCTCCGTTTTGGCCATCCCAGGTTATCACCAAGGCACAAACACACCTCGGACCCTCTCCTGGCAGCTCTGCCTGTTCCTCCCTGCCCTCTCCACCCATGGCTTGTCCCTCTCTTCTCCTGCCGTGGTCCCCATCGTCCTTCCATGCCTCCAACCCATCTCCTGCCACCCCCAGCATTCTGGGGAGCCAGCCTGCTCATCTTGCCTCCGTGCCAGCATCCCCTCTATCCTTGACACTCCATGTCCCCATCTGCCCTGGGGTCAGGCTGACATTTACTGCGCTAAATTGGGCCTCGGTGATCCACCCTCTTCCCTCCCTGTTGGTAAACAGCTTTGCTTCTGCGGCTGATGCCTGGCTCCGGGAGAGCTCTGTGTCCAGCTGCTCTGCAGCTCGGGTGCTCCCGGAGCGCTGCTCTTCAGCCGGCGCTTCCTTGCTCCAGTGGCTTCTGTAGAGTCTGGCCAGAGACTCTAATTGATCTTCTCTGGCCACAAGGTCCCCTCTCCAGTTGCCATCCTCACAGGAGCCACCGCTCTGCTCCAGATCAGCCCGCAATGATTCCAGGTCAGGCTGGAGAAGGTGGTGGATCCAGGATTTTGTCCTGGAATGGGAATTCAAATGTGGGAGCTGATAGTGGGAGGATGGAGAGGTCATTCAGCTCCAAGAGTTTACTGGCAGATATTTCACTTCCACTTTGGCCCTGTCTGGGAGGATTTCCCACGTTACACCCCAAATTCCTGTTCTGCAGCTTTTTTGTCAGGGCAAAGTCCTGGCTTGGGAGTTTGTCCTCTCCTGGTTATCGCAATGGCAATGCAGCCTGATGCCAGCCTGTCTGCTCTACCCCTCCCAGATGTGGCTGGGGACTCCGTGATGGCAGCTTGTGCCTGTGATCCTTCTTTCCTTGTTTTTTGGGTGTTTGCCTTCCTCCTTCATCTTCCCCATGGTCTCCAGGTTTTGCCAAGCCTGCCCTCACACTGCCAGGGGCTCCATTTTCTCCTTCTCCTTCATCTCCATCCTCTTCTCTTTTTCTGTCTGTCAGCATCTCTCCCATCCCTTTTGCTTTTAGATTCCCAGCCACATCTTTTGGCTGGATCTCTCTTCCTTCACAAGAGAAGACTCCCAAGAAACCATTTCCTTGCCCATCTTCTACCCAAATTCTGCTACAATTGCTGGGCCTGGCCATGTATCATCCTCTACTCCCTAAACACAACTCCACCCACTTATGGAATTTGCATCCTCCAAACTGGTCTTTTTTGATTTTTTTAAAATCATTTAATGGGTCAGGGCTACGGGGTGCTACCGCCCTTCCAGATAAATACTCATAAGGACTATTGCTGCTGTTCTGGCCAAAAACACCAGGAATTTGTCAGCCCTGCAGTACCTTTGATCCCCCATCCATCATCTCGCACTTCCCGACGTTATCATTGAGGGACACTCTTCCGGTATTCAGCAAATATTTGATTTCCTGTGAATCTAAATTAAAAGACCTTCCCCCATTTGTATTTTTTTATATTATTTGTTTGTTGGGATTTTAAAAAATTGATTCTAAAATGCTTTTGGCACTGTGTGGAAGCATTCCATTCTAAGAAAAATAAAGGAAAACTGTTCTGACTAAATATAGATCAAAAGACACTTGTGAGCTGCCTCTTGCATCCCTGGCTGAGAGCACTCTCCTCTCGCAGCCCACCCGGGCTCTTTCAGCCAGATTTCTCCCAAACTCTCTGTATTCTCTCCTCTGCCTCTGCTCAGCTTGGCTCCTGGCTCAGCTCACTGCCCAGCTCAAGGGAAGATGCTGGGTTTGGAATACTATTTTGGAATCTTCCAGCAGTGAGACCACGCTGTGCATATTTCATCCTCTCCCTCTGGGGCTTTTAACGCCCTTTTTCAACTTTTTCTAGCAACACCCCTTGGAGCAGGTTCAGTTAATTGACTTTCCAGCTGAGTGAATCCCAGGATGCTCCATGCCAGAGGTGCAGCCTTTGGCCAAAGCCAGCTGGAATACACTCCTGCAGGATGTGGTCACCAGCAGTTACGCAGCAGCAGGGCACTGTGGTCTCATATGGCCTCAAAGGGTGCATGGAGAGGCTTACATTGGATATCAGGGGAAATTCTTCACTGAAAGTGGGGTTAATCATTGGAACAGGCTGCCCAGGGAGGTGGTGGGGTCACCATCCCTGGAAGGGTCCAAACAGTGAGTAGATGTGGCAATTCTCCATATGGTTTAGTGGGCATGGCAGTACCTGGTCAAAGGTTGGACCTGATGACCTTGGGGGTCTTTTCCAGCCTTAATGAGTCTGTGATTCCAGCTGGGTCCTCACTGGGGTGGCACTCTCTGTTTGCCCACAGGTGTTTGTGCTGTGCCATGGGCTCCTCCAGCTCTCCCAGCTCCTCTACAGCGCCAACTTCAAGAGCAGCCTCACCACCATCGAGAAGCGCTTTGGGCTCTCCAGCCTCTCCTCAGGTTTCATCTCCAGCTTGCACGAGGTAACTGGGAGAGGAGCACCCAAAGGGTGGGCAGGACCTGGGGGCACCTTCCCAAAACAGGGTCTCAGGGCTGTTCACACCCAGGGCTTCCTCAGCCTCCGTGTGCTGGGAGGAGCAGCTGTGCTCTGGGACACCTTGTCACACCTCATTCACACCTCGTCACACCTCATTCTGCTCTGCCACCTCCAGGGGGGGAACGGGGGTCCTGTGGTGATGGCTCTTGGACAAGAGCAGACTTACACTGGATGGAATTCCAGAATGATTTGGGTTGAAGGGGTCCTTAAAGTCCATCCCATCTCATTCCACCCCCTGCCATGGGCAGGGACACCTTCCACTAGCCCAGGTGGCTCCAAGCCCTGTCCAACCTGGCCTTGGACACTTCCAGGGATCCAGGGGCAGCCACAGCTCCTCTGGGAACCCTGTGCCAGGTACTCAGCACAGTCGCAGGGAAAAATTACTCCCCAGTATCCCATCTTACCCTGCCCTCTGGCAGTTTAAGGCATATTACTGAGCTGGCTGAGGATGTTCTCACACTTTCTTATCAAGAAATCCCTTGGAATAAGTTTCCTCATTCACATTTTTAGGAATTCTGTCCTTCCTATCAGCTCTTCAAGGCCTGACAAAGGCCAGGAAAAGACCTGCTGGCAGAGACTTTTTTTGCTGACACCAACTGGCCACACACTTTTTTGTGAGCTCCCTGGTGAGCACATGGGATGCTCCACCAAGAAGCTGGACCCTGGGAATCTTCCTGTATCCCTGGGGAAGTAGATGCCCAAGTCTTACCTCAACCAGCATGGACATTTGGGATTAAAAAGATGTCTCAGGGCCCACTGAGACTTCCTGCTGTCTGTGACTGTGTGAGGTGCCCTGCCTGTCCAGGACAACAATCTTAGTGCGTTGGTGCCTACAGCAATTCCAAGAACAAAACCCACAAAGAGACAAACAATGGAGCCCACACAAACACAAATACAAAGTTTTCTTAGCCATACATAGAATCACAGAATGGTTTGGGTTGGAAGAGACCTTTAAAGGCCATCTTGCTCAACCTCCTGCAATGAGCAGGGACAGCTTCAACATGCCAAAGTTAAAATGATGTTTAGGTTGTCCAGAGCTGTTAAAGCCCATGTAATGGGAATTTTGTGGTGTTCACCCACTTGCCTGAGCGAGCTGTGTGGTTTCATGGCTTTCTAGTTGATGCTGTCTGCAGCTGCAAATGCCCAGGGTCAAACATTTGCAGTGAGCTGGACTTTGTAGCAGGCTCATGTCTGTTTGAGTCACAGGAATGGAGGCAGTATGTTTCATTCCTTGCTGGTTTTGGAGGAATTGTCAGTTTATGCCACATCGGTCAATCTCTAAAATTTCTTCACTGAAAGGGCTGTCCAGCCCTGACACAGCTGCCCAGGGCAGCAGTGGACTCCCCATTCTCTTCCTGCTGTCTGTGACTGTGTGAGGTGCCCTGCCTGTCCACGACAACAATCTTAGTGCGTTGGTGCCTACAGCAATTCCAAGAACAAAACCCACAAAGAGACAAACAATGGAGCCCACACAAACACAAAGTTTTCTTAGCCATACATAGAATCACAGAATGGTTTGGGTTGGAAGAGACCTTTAAAGGCCATCTTGCTCAACCTCCTGCAATGAGCAGGGACAGCTTCAACATGCCAAAGTTAAAATGATGTTTAGGTTGTCCAGAGCTGTTAAAGCCCATGTAATGGGAATTTTGTGGTGTTCACCCACTTGCCTGAGCGAGCTGTGTGGTTTCATGGCTTTCTAGTTGATGCTGTCTGCAGCTGCAAATGCCCAGGGTCAAACATTTGCAGTGAGCTGGACTTTGTAGCAGGCTCATGTCTGTTTGAGTCACAGGAATGGAGGCAGTATGTTTCATTCCTTGCTGGTTTTGGAGGAATTGTCAGTTTATGCCACATCGGTCAATCTCTAAAATTTCTTCACTGAAAGGGCTGTCCAGCCCTGACACAGCTGCCCAGGGCAGCAGTGGAGTCCCCGTTCTTGGAGGGGTTTAACAGACGTGTGGATGTGGCACTTGGGGACATGGGGCAGTGGTGGCCTTGGCAGTGCTGGGGGAGCAGCTGGACTTGATGGTCTTGGAGGGTTTCTCCAACCTAAACAATTCCCTGATGACTATGGGATGGGGGGCAGGTGTGGGTGCTAGAGCCTCAGACAAATCACATGGAGGCTGTGATGTCATTCATGCCAACAAGGGATGCCCAGAGGTGGCCGAGGCCAGGGAGTGACCCTGTGGCTGGAGAAGAGAAGGGAGCACTGACGCGCTGTGAGCACGCAGAGCAGGGGGATGCTCCTGCTCCTGTGAGCGCCAAACTCCTCCTGATGAGAGCCCTGTCCACCCACCCAGACTCAGCCATAGGGCCTGGATGTCCTCTGTGACGTCTTCTCACGTTCCTCCCTCTTCTCTGTGCCTTTTCCAGATCGGCAACGTGGTGCTCATCATCTTCGTCAGCTACTTCGGCAGCCGCGTGCACCGCCCGCGCGTCATCGGCGTCGGGGGGCTGCTGCTGGCCCTGGGGGCCTTCCTGGTCACCCTGCCCCACTTCCTCTCAGGCCCCTATGAGTACACTGCCCTCAGCACGGGTGAGTGCCCCCAGCTGTGCCCCACAAACCCAGACCCAGCTGCTCCAGATGGGGGGCATGTGACTGCCCCCCAAAAAAAAGGGGGTGTTTCCAGGGCACACGTGATTCAAACAGTGGTTGAAGGCAGAGCCTTAAGGTGGGTAGTTGCTGGTTAAACCTGACATTGTTATAGCTTTGGAACCCTTTCTGAATGCAAAAATTATGTGTGGGGTTTCTTCTGCTTCTCCTGCACATGTTATTCCAGCTGTTGTTACAGAATCATAGAATGGTTTGGGTTGGAAGGGACCTTAAAGCCCATCTCATTCCCCCCCCTGCCACGGGCAGGGACACCTTCCCCTGGCCCAGGTTGCTCCAAGTCCATCTTTGAACACTTCCAGGGATGAGGCAGCCACAGTTTCTCTGAGAGAGAGTAGGTTTAGATCAAATGTCAGAAAGCTATTCCTCCCTGTGAGGATGCTGAGGCCCTGGCACAGTTGCCCAGAGAAGCTGTGGCTGCCCCTGGATCCCTGGAAATGTCCAAGGCCTGGTTGGAGAGGGTTTGGAGCAACCTGGGCTTGTGGAAGGTGTCCCTGCCCGTGGCAGGAGGTGGAATGAGATGGGCTTTAAGGTCCCTTCCAACACAAACCATTCTGGAATTCTGAGATATAGCAAAGCCCCCCTGTCCCCAGGGCCTGCTCTGGCCAGGATCCTGATCTGATCCAGTCCAAGGAAGGCTGCTGCTTTAACTGGGAAGGCTTTGGGAACAAGCTCATGTGAACAATGACAGCTCTATTTTCCATGCAGAATGGAAATGACCCAAAAGTTCTGCACAGAACACAATTCTTGCAGAGCACCTTTGCTAAACTGAACAGGATTAGAGATGGACTGCAAAAACAGATGGACAGGGCAGAGATATTGACATTATGAGGACTGCCTAATGGAAAAGAACACATTCAGTCTGTGAACAGCCCATGAAGGTACTTCAGTCCTGGTTGGAGTTTCCATGGCAGTCTGGAGCAGGGTGAAGATCCCCGGTGTCTGGGTTGTATCAAGAGGCAAGGGCCATGATTTGGTAGGAGCTGGGCTACTCCTGAGCCATGGTGCAGCAGGGATTCAGGGCAGGGTGTCCTGCTTAGGGCAGCCACCTGACCCCAGAGGGCATCACACCCTGTTCCTGCCTGGGTACCAAAAGGGAGCAGAGACCACAGACAGAAAAACCAGCCATGGGTTTGGTCTGCCCTCATTAAACCCAGAGCACCCTCACTCCATGGCATGAACTCTTTAAAAGTGTGATTAAAATCACAGCCTGGTTGTTTGCTGACCTCAGTATAATACTCCAAAGGAAGGCCAGGGTGATGAGAACTGCTGAAGAAAATGAGCAATCCCTCCAAAATCCAGCAGTTTGTGCTTACTCAGTGAGTTTGGGAGATTCCTGCTATTTGGGGATTTAGTGTGGGAGGAGGCAGGGGATGTACCCAGCGTTGAAATGCTCATTTTTTTCCCCTTCCAGGTAACAAGAGCCAGGGGCAGGTTGAGCTGTGCTATGCAGAGAGTAGATTTGTGTGCTCAAACACCACCCGGGACCCCGAGAAGGAGGCCAGCAGTGTGTGGGCCATGATGGTCATTGCCCAGCTGCTGGCTGGCATCGGCACCGTGCCCATCCAGCCCTTTGGCATATCCTATGTGGACGACTTTGCAGACTCCAACAATTCCCCACTGTATGTTGGTACGTGGGACCATTGCTGCACACTGTTTTGTTTCACAGAATCCCAGGATGGTTTCGGTTGGAAGGGATCTGAAAGCTCATCCAGTTCCACCCCCTGCCATGGGCAGGGATACCTTCCACTAGCCCAAGCTGCTCCAAGCTCCTACATCCTTGTCTTCCCTCTGCAGTGAGGGATCACTGTTCCAATGAATTGTCCCACTGATCCCTTAGAATTCTCAAAACTGCAAGGAAATTGAAGGAAAGAGGGCTGAAGGAACCTGAAAGGTTCTGAAGAGGAAGGAAAGTGGGATTGGTGTGTTGTTTTTAATACAGGTGCTCCCTTCAGGGCTGTGGGAATGTCTGTCAGGGTGGATGGTTCCAGGGTTGCCTCAATATAGCAGAAATTCCATCTCCCCAAGTCCCATTTCATTTTACGTCTGATGCAGCTCAAGCTCACTGCCTGCTTTTAAACATCTTGAGAAAGCTGTGTAAAGAGTTTCTCTCAAGGAGGGAACTTGGATCCTGTCATTGCAAACAAAGGAAAAGAAAATGTCCCGACCTTATGGGTTATCTATTTTGGAATGGGAGGGTTCAGCTACACCCAAGGTGGTCTGGTGGCCTTTTTGTCCTCAGAATCTTCCACCTCACCTGACGTTTGAACCAAATATTTTGGTTCAAATATTTTTCCTTGGATCTGAGGATTAGGATGTGTTTGTTTCCTTGGCCATGTCCTAGAGGATATGGAGGTCTCAATCACCTGTGTGAGCCCTGGATGTCAGTGCCCTGCTGCTCCCTGGGGTTCATGAATATCATGGATATTACTGATGTAGCTGACAACTTGTATTTTGTCAGCAAAGCCTTTTTGGCATCAGAGCAGGGGGACTTTGTGCACAGGCAGCTGCCTTCCCCCTCTGTTCCTGTCAGATAAACACCAACTTCAGTGTTGGGGCAGTGGGGACCTTCTCACCATCTGAAGGGTGATGAAGGGTGTTTTCTCCCCTCTGTATGTTGTGCCACATTCCTGCATTTCCTGGGAAGACAGAAGCTGTTCCTGTCAGATAAACACCACCTTCAGGGTTGGGGCAGTGGGGACCTTCTCACCATCTGAAGGGTGATGAAGGGTGTTTTCTCCCCTCTGTATGTTGTGCCACCATTCCTGCATTTCCTGGGAATACAGAAGCCATATCTGCATGGAAACTGCATTTCCCTGCTCACAGGGGCTCTCTCTGCTCCCTTTTCCCAGCCATCCTGTTTGCCATTGCTGTGTTTGGCCCTGCCTTTGGATACTTGCTGGGGTCCGTGGTGCTGAGGCTCTTCGTGGATATCGGGAGGGTTGACACTGGTGAGTATTGCTCAGACAGCAGAGGTCCTAAAGACCCTCTGTGGGTCAGAAGGTCACTCTGAGATGAAAGGTGACAGAAGCCACCAGTCCTGTGACCCACAAAACCCACTGCCCTGGAAAGACTCGACCTGGAAAAGCACCCCCAGCATACTCCACTCTGTCATCCCATAAGGACAGATACAGGTGGTCCTGACACCACCACTGAAGCAGAGCCCTGGGGCAGGGACATTCCTGTGCCCAACTCATGGTGCTGCACTGGAGGGCATGGCTGGGGTCTACCCACTGCCACAACACTGAGGAGGTGTCCCACAACCCCCGCGTGGTGGTGGAGAGGAACAGGGAAATATGAGGAATCCAGGGATGGAGAAGACAACCAGAGAGAAATCACTGCCCTGTGGATAAAAAGAAAACTTGAGTGTACTCATCCTCCTCCCCAGAACCAGCACCTGAGAGAGAGGGGCTGAGCTGATGCCACCACAGGGATAATTTGCTTTATCCATGACATGTGCTTATTATTTCTGGTAACTTAATCACTAAAGAATTCTCCCCAGCTCCATAATTAACATGGCTTTTCCTGTGTTTCCTTAGAGAGCCTGCCTGACATTTTTGTCCGATGTGCTTATTATTTCTGGTAACTTAATCACTAAAGAATTCTCCCCAGCTCCATCATTAATGTGGCTTTTCCTGTGTTTCCTTAGAGAGATCAGAGCCTGCCTGACATTTTTGTCCAGTGCCTGATAAGAATAATAAATGAACGTGGGCAGGAAATGCCAAAAAGCCTTGGTCCACTCCCCGCGGCGGCAGACGGATTTAGCAACCTCTGCCTGGTCGCTCCATGATGACATCCAAGCTCCAGAGTGGAGTGGTCCTGTTTGGGGAAGCGGGCTGATTGTTTCAGTGGGGTGTGGGCTCCTCTCCTGTCACCCCTGGCACGGAGCTCCCAGCAGAGCTGGCCGTGGTTCCTTCCCAGCTGCCACATCCCGGCCGTGGGTAGCCGTGTCCCCAGGCCAAGCCAGGCAATCTGTCAGACCTCCCGTGAGCATCACTCGGCCCAGCCAAAGGATGTGTGTCCTGGAGACACAGTGGCTCTCACCTTCTCCTCCTTTTTCCGGAGAAGGCGCCCAGAGTTTGGTCCACTCGGAAACCGGGAGCTTCTGCCAGCACAGGGCCTTCCCTCGGTCCCTGCGAGCAGAAAGTGACCGAGCCTGGAACAATGGAGAGAAACTTTTTCCAGGAAAGCAGCACAGCCTTTCCCAGTCCCTGTTTTGGCTCAGCATCCCTGTCAGCAGCATGGTCCCACCCACTGTGTTCTCCAGGCAGAGGATGGAGTCAGGCCCCCATAATCTGTGCCTTGCTGACTGGCTCGGGACTTAGAGTGAACCTGTGCCACCAGAGTGCTTCCATGCTGACCAAATCCATCCTGCAGTCACCTGGGAGGCTCAGTACAGTTGGGATGAGTGGCAGTGGTTGTTTTCCTAGCCAGGGAAGACACAGGTCAAACACGACCAGGGCCGGTCTTGCCAACACCGGTGGGAGTCCTACCTCCATACATTTGCTGTTACATGCCAGAGGAGAGACCCTTGGGTTGTGCCCACAGGGACTCTTCATACTCCACCAGTCCACATTTTCATGGAGATCTGTCCCTTGGAGCTCTTACAGTGTGTCCTTGTGTGTTGCAATGGCAGTGGAGCTGACGCCGAGCGACCAGCGGTGGATCGGAGCCTGGTGGCTGGGTCTGCTCATCTCCTCGGGCTGCCTGGTGCTCACCTCCATCCCTTACTTCTTCTTCCCTCGGTACATGCTGAAAGGAGAGGTGAGACCTCATCTCCAGAGGCTGGAACGGCCTGGAGCCAGGGATGTGTTCAGGGAAGGAATACCTGTCCTCAGAGGAGAGGGGTGGGAGGGAGGAAGGCGGTCCAGCAACCCTGTCCCATTAAAACAAATTTTAAAAGGTGGAAAATAATTAACATGTATCATTTTGGTGTTTTCAAAGCCAAATCCCACTGGTTTTGTTACAAAAATACTTTAGTTCTGTTTTGAAATTGTTTATTCATTGATTCTTTAAAGGTAAAATTAAACCCAAAATATTTCACAGTTATGGCTAAAGGACTCACCAGACCTGAGCTGAATTATCTCTAACTTTCATTTTCAGACTTTTTGCAGAGTTAAAAGGGAGGTATTTTGTCAGGGTTCAAGGGAAGAAAGATTTCCAAGTTCTTGCAACCTGCCAACAACAAGCTGTTGTCTTGCTGCTCTGCTCAGGGGCTGCAGTGATATTTGAGATAATTCACTCCTTTAATCACAGAATCCTGGAATGGTTTGGGTTGGAAGGACCTTAAAGCTCATCCTGTTTCATCCCCTGCCACAGGCAGGGACACCTTCCACTATCCCAGGTTGCTTCAAGCCCTGTCCAGCCTGGCCTTGGACACTTCCAGGGATCCAGGGGCAGCCACAGCTTCTCTGGGCACCCTGTGCCAGGGCCTCACCACCACAAGAATTTCTCACCAATATCCCATCTAACCCTAATGGCAGTGGGAAGCCATTCCCCCTTGTCCTGGCACTCCAGGCCCGTGTCCCAAATCCCTCTCCAGTTCTCTTGGAGCCCCTTTAGGCTCTGGAAGGGGCTCTCCCCAGAGCCTTCTCCTCTCCAGGTGAACACTACCAGCTCTCCCAGCCTGCGGAAGTGCTCAGGGCACGTGGGACGGGGCTTTGCTCTGATTGTCAGGCTTGGCTGGGGGTCAAAGGCCCCTGGGACCGACCCTGGCCCTGCTGAGCCTCCCTGTGCCAGGACAGTGCCAGCCCCTCTCACCGCAGGCTGCTCCTCTCTCCCTGCCAGGAGCGGAACACCGAGGCCGGGATGCTCAGGAAGATGGAGACAGGGGCTGCTCAAGACACCTCCCTGCTGGAGTTCATCAAAAGTAAACTCCTGGGGGTGCAGGAGAGGGTGGACAGGGATGCTGGGCCATGCTGTGCCATGGGGAGTGGCGGGTGGGGACCACCACAGCAGCAGCTTCACACCAGGGGGGCTTCTTGGGAGTCCTGGGGAGCCCAGCACCGTGTGTGGAGCAGCTCTGGCACCACGAGGGCCTAAGGACCAAGGGAAGGTGGGCACAGCCTCCCTCTTGAGGCCCCTCTTCTTTGGGGCCTGAATTGTTTCCAAATTTTGTGTTGAGGACGTTAAAGTGGTACAGTGTGCCAGAAAAGGGTCTCTGGGAGGTTTAACCCCAGCTCCAGGAGTGGGCATGGTGCTGCCGGCGCCGCCAGCTCCTCCACGAGGTCACTCCACTGCGGCTGACCCTGTTTATGTGGAGCAAAGAGGCTTGAGAGGGATGTCACTGCTGAGGGACCAGATTAATGACTCCTTTAGCTCCAGAGGATTTCTTCCCAGATAAAGCCCCTCCCTCCTTGCCTCTTCCTCCACTGCAGTCACATCCTGGAGCAGTCAGTTCCCTCTTCTCCTCTCTTTGGCCTTTAATGGATGCTGGCTCTCCACCACTCTCTGCTAATTAGAAAACTCATAAGAGACCAAATAAACAGAGTTGCTCCCAGGGTCCATCTGCCTCTGTTGATGGGGCCAGAGGACACAATGTCCCACCAGGAAAACACATCCATGGTGCTGTCAGCTGCTGGGACACATTAGGGTGTCTCCCCTCCTGCTTTCCCATATCCACAGACATCTCCAGTAGATCATCACCATCATCCCACAGACATCCTTACTGGGAACAGGCTAAGGGTGGGCGTTTATTGCTAGTACAAATTGCTGGCGTAGGGATCATATGGCCAAAAGACATTTTTCCTACTGTTTCCCTGTAGGATTCCCGAAGATCTTCCTCAGGCTGCTGCTCAACCCCCTCTTCATCCTCCTGGTGCTGGCTCAGTGCAGCTTCTCCTCCGTCATTGCGGGTCTGGCCACCTTCCTCAACAAATTCCTGGAGAAGCAGTACGGTGCCTCCCCCTCCCAGGCCAACTTCCTCATAGGTGAGCACAGAGAGAAGCAAAAAATATCCATCAGCAGGGAGCCAACTGCCCATATTCTCCAGGCTCTTAAAATCCTGGAGAAGAAGCCTGTGAAAGCTCATTTTTGGATGAGACCTGGGGCTCACCTTGGGATAGTGTGTGACTTTCCTGACCTGTAGTTCCACAGCTGCCTTGGGTTTGGGCTGTCTTGGACAACAGCTGGATCTGTGGGTTCTCCCAACTCCAGAGGGGTCCAGAGAGCTGCCCCCTGCCCATGGAGGGGTTCTGGGCAGGCAGGACCCCCCTGAAGGCTCCGTTCCTCTGCAGGAGCTGTGAACCTGCCAGCAGCAGCACTCGGGATGCTGCTGGGAGGGATCATCATGAAGCGCTTCTCCTTCTCCCTGCGCGCCATCCCGCGCTTCGCCGTGGTGGTGCTCGTCTTCTCCATCCTCATCTGCCTGCCCATCTTCTTCATGGGCTGCTCCACAGGGCACATCGAGGGCATCTACCACCCCAGGTAATGCAGGTGCTGCTCCCAGCTCCTCGTTTCTCCAGCTCTTATCCATGGGGAGGGACACACGCAGGTGGAGAGGCAGAAGACATCACCATGCTGCTCCTTGATTTGCACTGCATGGAGGAGATCTGGGTGCTTCACAGCCCAGAGAGCTTGGGAGGGTGTTTATCCATGATTTTCTGGGCCAAACAAGCAGGGTGTAGTTTTTCACTCTGGATTTTTAGGGGGAAATTAGTAACATTGTGTCCACATCACTTCACACGCTCCCAGTGTTCCAGCTGGACATCATCTTTCTCCTCACCTCAGTGCATATTTTTGGCTCTTACCATGACTTCCTAAGATAAAAATGACATTTGTGTACGACCAAGGCTTGATGTCAAGTGCATTGAGCTCATTTCCCAGAGCACTGCCAGCAAGGAAGAGACTTCTGATGCCATCTTCCCACATGGGGTGGAGCAGCCCCATCCCACCCTACCCATGGGCAGCTCCCCAGTGCCACATTCCTGCCGGATTCAGGCTGTGTGACTCCAGCAGATGGGGGAATGAGGGAAGACAGGGCAGATTTGGGGTTGTTCACTTCACTTCCACAGCCATCAGGCTTGTTTGGGAACATGCCCACTTTCAGTTTGTGTCCATGTGGTGTTTCCAGCTGTGGCTGTTCACACATCTGTTTGTGCAGCTTTGGATGAAGCCCAGGTCCATTTCTACAGGCTTTTGGCCGATTAATTTTCAGCTGAGGAAAAAAAAAATAAAATAAAAATAAAAAAAAGATAAAAGAAGTGTGTCAGTACTTGTTTGTAGACATAACATAATTCCTGTGACATTCACTGCACGCTTCCAGAGGTACCTGCAGGGATCAGGGGCTGGCAGAAGGCCAGGCTGCTGCTGGCAGTGTCCCAGCCCAAACAGGAACAGGAAAACTGCTCAACTAGTAAAAGGGATTTTTTTTTTTCTAAATTCCTCCTGTCCTATTTCTTAATTTTTTGCTAATTTCTCCCCCCTCCTTTCTGGCAGCACACCCAATTCCCAGCAGCAGGTTAAGGCACGGGTTGGGTGCCAATGCTCTAAGCAGATCTTCCACCCCGTGTGCCGGAAAAACACCACGGAATACATCTCACCCTGCTTCGCTGGCTGCACCAACAGCACCACCAACCCCTCCAACCCCAGACAAACAGTGAGTAAAGCAAGTGGTTAGCAAAGCAGCCTTGTTGGGAATAGTGGAGTGATGCTGCAGGAGCCCAACAAATGCAATAAGGGGCTGGAATCTTTTCCAAATGGTGCGCTGAGCCCTGGGAGGGTGCCCTGGAGAATTGCTGTAAGGCCCTGGGAATCTGCTTGGAGGAACGGGGATGGTGGTAAATCCCATTACAGGATGCCATGGCTGTGCCTTAAAACTGGAGCTGGTGCTCTTATGGGTGTCCTGCACAGGGATGTGGGATGATTCGTCCTGAGAAAGCTGCTCCAGGCGCTGGGAGTCTGACGTCTGTTTTGTTCCAAACGTTTCCAACAGATCTACCACAACTGTTCCCTGAATGGGAATGAGCTGTTCTCCACCTACACGGGTTCTTGTCCAGTCAGCTGCTCCCATATGCTCCTTCCTGCCATATTCCTCATCTCCTTTGCTGCCCTGGTGGCCTGCCTGTCCCACAACCCCCTCTACATGATGGTGTTACGGTGAGTGGTGTGCAGGGTCCTCAGTCCCGGGGGAGCCGATAGGATGGTTCCCCATGTTGGGATCAACGGGATGCCATAAACGTGCAACCAGCCCAAATCTTGGCCAAATCCAGGGCCAGCAGCTCTGACCTCCTGTGGCTTCTCCCCTGCAGGGTGGTGAACCAGGATGAGAAGTCATTCGCCATTGGAGTCCAGTTCTTACTGATGAGACTGCTGGGTGAGTGTTTGTCTGTGAATGAGGCTGGGGGGCTGCTGGAGCTGTGGGAGGCACCGAACCTCCTCGGGATCAGCACCTGACTCCATCTCTCTCCCACCAGCCTGGCTGCCGGCCCCAGCCATGTTCGGAGCCCTCATCGACTCCTCCTGCATCTACTGGCAGCAGCAGCAGTGCACCCCGGGCCGCTTCTGCGCCTACTACAACAACGATTTCCTCCGGAACAGGTACCCTGTGCCCCGGCCCCGGGCAGGACGGGGGCCCCAGCCCAGCTGGAAGTGCCAGCTGCAGTTGTGGCATGTCCCCGCTCTTCTCCCGGCAGATACCTGGGGCTGCAGGTGGGCTACAAGGTGGTGGGCACCGTGCTGCTCGCCCTCATCGGCTGGAAGGTGAAGAGGAGCAAGGAGTACAACGTGCAGGAGAAGGCGGCGGGGCTGGTGTAGCCCCCGAGGAATGACTCGCACCCCCATCACCCACTGCCACTACTTTGTCTTGTTTGGGTTTGTTTTACTTCCCACGGGAGCGACTCCGCAGCTCCGAGCTCCCCTCCCGCAGCCCAGGTGCACCCGGCGAGGGATGCTCCGGGCCAGCCCCGTCCTGGGAATGGCATCGCCCGGGGTCTCCAGCCGCGCTCGCCCGTCTCCCTGGGCAGGGGCAGCCCCGGCCAGCTGAGCAGGAGGCAGAGGGGGCTGGAACACAGGGACCCGGAGAAGTGCCTGCTGTGGGCGATGGTCCCGCTCCGGAGTGACATTCCCGGCCGGGAGGTGCCTTCCCGGCTGGGACAGGAGCAGGGGAGGTGGCTGCCAGGTGTCCCCCCGGCCGCAGCCCCCACGGAGGTCAGCAGGGACACCGCACACGTGTTGGGACAAGACAGCACAAGGGGTTTATTGCAGAACATCTGGGGTTTGTTGCTCTTTTTATTTTTTAAATAAAGGTCACTTTTCCAACCGCGGTGCGTTCTTGGTCTCCCCCCACCAGCAAGGCACGCCCTGGGCAGGCTGCAGCTCACAGCCTGGCCCGTGCTGAGCACATTCCAGCTGGGAAAGGGGAAAAAATGGTGGCAGAGGGGGACATTCTTCTGCAGCTCCACCAGTGATGGGGGAGGGCTGGTATAGGGGCTACACGGAGCTCAGGGATGGCTGAGGAGCCCTGCCTGCAGTCCCACGGAACCTGCCAGCCCTGCCTGCCTCTCCCTGATGGGCACAGGGACACAGGCAGGGGCTGCAGGCACAGCAGGTTTCATCCACGGAACCTGCCAGCCCTGCCTGCCTCTCCCTGATGGGCACAGGGACACAGGCAGGGGCTGCAGGCACAGCAGAAGGTTTCACCTGAGGTTCTCATCCCCCATGGGTTTGTTGGCACAGATCAGTTCTGGTATTCAGCTGCCCCTCTGGTGCCTCAGAGAAGGGATCATGAACAAAGAAATGCCTGGCAATTAAAAAGCTTCATACCCTCTCCCTCACACCACAGTGCAGAGCAAGAGCCTGGGGTCCTTCTCACCCTTCACCGAGCTGCTGTTTTGGTTGTTTCACACCCCTCAGGTGGGTTTTGGTGAGGGTTTGGTGGGTGGGTTCTGTTAGTCCACACTGTGATGGAAGCCCATTTTGTGTTCCAGTACACAGACCACAATCTGCTCCAGCATTTTGAATATTTTAACTGCAGCTTTGCCTATTATAACTATTATTAATGATCTTTACAATTATTATTGATCAGATTGTCAGCTCCTGGTTTCCTTCTGATCCATCTCTGCCTGACACAGCACAGCCTTAGGGTTCATATCAAGTTCAACCCATAGCCTAACAAGTCCAGCTACTGAGCTACTTAAAAATCCTGTCATTTTTTCAATGCAGTGGGCTCTGGGCAGGGTACAGTGGGTTTGGGGCTTTCTTTCAAGGACTTTATGGGTAGAATGCATTCAGGCCCTGCTGTCCTTACCCCATAGCTTTTCCCTGTGGTCATGGCCCTGCTGCATCCATGTTCATGGAGGGAGCCAAGGGAAAGGAGGACAGGAGCAGACCTGTCCTGGATTTGCTCTGGATCACCAAAGTCTTCACAAAAAAGAGCTCTCTCCACATTAACCCTATTCCTGTTCCACCTCTACCTGGCACATTTCCCCTGAACACCCACCTGACCCTCCATAACTTTCTCCACTTCTTTCACACCAGGAGGTGTGTAACACTCAGCAGGATAAACCCCAGGAGGGGACGGTCACAAAGGGCACGAGGTGGCCCAAATGGGGCCAGAAGCTCCAGAAGCAGAAGCTCCTGACCACAAAGGTGTCAGGGTGGTGGCTCTGTGCACAGGGAACAGCTGGAATACCTGCATTGAGGAGCCCTGGGAACCACCCCTTGGGATGCTGATGTCCAGGCATTGTTAATTTTGCTTTTCTTTGCCTTTCAGCAATCTCTTCTCCTCTTTCAGGTTTTCTGCTATCCCAGTTATCACTGTGCTCCTCATTCTCCTCCAAAAACATCTGCCTTTTCCAGGGGAACAATTTGGAGTACATCCATAGCAAAAAACATTGACCAAAAGAGCTTTAGCACAGTGAGGCCTCAGTCCCTGGGGATGTGTGAACAGAGGGTTCCTGACTCAGGGTCAGGCAGCTGCAGCAAGAAGGGGCTGAGTTTATCACATCCCACTGTCCTGCCAAAGCCATCCCAACACAGCCCTACCGAGCTGCAGCCTCAGGAGCAGCACTCCTAGCCAGCAGAGCCACGGGCTGGGAACAAGGTCAGGAGAGCAAAGAACAAAGCACAGAGCTGACTGGGGAATCAAGAAAAACAAGAAAACAACACTCAGTTTCCAGTTCTGCTCTCTTCCCTCAGTCACTGGGGAAAACCAGCCCTGAGTATTTAAATATTTTAAAAATCACAGTGAGGCCCAAAAAACTCCTGGAGTTCTGCTCTGTGCTTCAGCACGAGTGGCTCTGGGTACAGCCCCAGCTCGGCCATGGCCATGCAGCCATTCCCCAGCCCAGGAAAGCTGAGGCATCTCATCTCCATCCAGCACAGCCACAGGGTGCCACAGCCACCTCCAGGGCAGAGCAGTGTGCTCTGCCACCACAGCAGGCTGGAGCTTTCCTGTGCACATCACCAAGGTGCCTTTCAATTATGATTTGTGGGCATTTTTTGCTACGTGATTATCAATTTCTCAATTGAAACCAATCAACCAACTGAAACCAATCTTGGTCAAGTCGGACCAAGAAATACAAAACCAAAAAAATACCTCAACCCCAAAGCCCTCTGTGTGCAGAAAACGAAGACAGACAGACCTGGCCACAGAGCAGGAAGGCTGATACCCAGCACTGTGCTGAGCAGGAGCAGAGCCCCATCCATGTGGATCTGACACCCTGGGAAGAGCCAAGTCAAACACACAGACTGAAGCAAGACTTGAGAACAAACATTTAAGCATAAAAGAATTTACTTAAGGAATACTTTTAAAAATAATAACTTAAAACCCACCATGGCCTCATGGTACCTCCTCCCACTTAAGCTGAGGCTGGTGCTTGGCTTCTCTGTCTTTGCAAGAACAATCACACAAAGAAACAGCAATTTTTTGCCCAAAATCATTTCAGCATTATGGATTTGAAGCAGGCAGCCCAAGACCTCCAGCTAAAGGAGTTCAAAGCATGACAAACATGCTCCAACAGGACTCTGCCTGCAGGAAACAGAAGAATGTAACATGTTTGGTAAATAAAACCCTCCCCACCTCCTGCACGGATGGTTCCTGAGGCTGGAAATGCAAGGACCAGCCTCATTACAGGCACAGGGCTTTGCTGAAGGCTGTTCCTGCTCTTCCCAACACTTGGCAATGCTGCAGGGAGGCAGGAAAAGCCCCAGAGAAGGAAAAGAACACAACAGATGAGCTGAGTGATGAAGGAGGACTCAAACCACAGGGGAGAGTGGGCTGCAAACTACAAAAAGGGTCTGCCAGGAGCCAGCCACCCCCCCAACCCTAAAACAGCAGGGGAAGCTATAAAGGGAAAATGTCACTGCACTGGAACTCTGCAGTGAGTGCAGTGAGACACAAAGCGGGAAAGTCTCCCCTTTCTTTCCCCTGTTCCTTGAGCATCCTGCCACAAGGAGGAAGCACTCACGTGCTGGCAGCTCATTGACTTTCCCTCTCACTCGGCCCTAAGTGCTGACTAATTAATTACACACAAAGCAAGGCCTTCCTGCAGCCAGTGCAGCAGGAGACTGCACAGCAAATGCCTGGCAGGTCCCAGCTGCAGGTACAGATCTGGAAGTGTGCCCATCTCACAGCTTCAGGCCATGATCCCCTGTAGCTCTGCCACTCTCAGAGTGTTTGTTGCTGGCTGTGGGAGGAGAGCTTGGAAGGAGAAGCAGAGTGAAGCTTCCAGGACACAGCCCTCAGCTGAAGAAAAACTCCCAGGAGCTGATCAAGAGAGGGAATCACCAGACATGGGCACAGAGCTGAGCCCAGGGCAGGCAGTCTGGTTTGGGCATTTCACACTCCTCCTGCCCCACAGAAATGGGGCTGCACCAATTTGGAACAATGGGAAGGCAGACACGAAGAGGAAACCAGCTTTTTATGCTCTCTCAATGCCTGCCCAGCTTAGGGAGCCTGTGCATGCTCCCCAGCAGCCCCAACCATGAGGTGGTCAGTGGCTCTGAGAGGCAACAGGGGTGTAACCCATGGCAGGAAAAGGACAGGCTCACTCCAGTCTCTAAAACTCACCTGCCAGTGCACTCCTTCCTAATTTGCTTGGCAACTACCAGATGAAAAGCCTAAAGATTAAGGAAAAGAAAAGCCCAGAGGTTCAGCAGCCCAGAGGAGGGCAAGGGAAAAGGTGAGAGGATAAAAACGTTGCAGCATGAAGGGACAGCCAGAGGGAATCACACCAGCAATTGTCATGTCTCTCCCAAGCCCACGAGCAGCAGAAGAAGACACCACAGCGCTGACTTCCAGCTGAAGTTCCTTCTTTTCACACCAAGATGATATTTGAGTGCTCCAGACCATCTTTTTCCCTTCAGCCCCCCAGCCCTGTCCATCTCTCTTCAGGCCACCTTCCCCAGCCACTTCTCGAGGCCCTCCAAGTCAGCCTCTCCCTCCTCTCCCTTGCTGCCCCGAGCACTGCACTCCACAAACTCCACCTTCATGGGCAGCTGGGAGAAGTCGAAGTCCTTGCCCTTCTTCCCCAGCTGGGCAGGGCCCCCTGTGGCTGAGCCATCCAGGCTGGTGGGGGCTGCAGAGCGTGTCACCCGCAGGGTATTGCTGCAGGGAGAGAAGGGAAAGGGTCAGGAACTGGGGAACAGGGGAGCATCACCTGCACCAGGGCTCTGGGATGTCTGGGGGGTCAGCAGCATGCCAGCTACTCCAAGGACACAAGGCCCAGCTCTGCCCTGTGAGGCTCAGCCAGGGCCTTTGGCCACTGTTGGAAGGCACAAGGGCAGAGGCTCAAGGGAGTAGGAGGGCACTCAAGGAGAGGTGTTCAAACAGGTTTAGTTTTGTAATAAAGGACAGCAGAAGTCAGATGATGATGATGATGTCCTTATCCCAATTTGCCCATGATAAACACTGGAATAACAGTGCCTAACAGGCCACAACAACTACCTAGAAATCCAACACCTACACACAGGTAGTTGGCAAATGCTCAACATCAGCACAAGCAACCCCTATTTTCCAGGAGAACGTGAATGTGTGGCAACTAACTCCTCTGCTAAAAACCAGGAGGTTGGGTATTCAGCCTGCAGGAGGACAGCACAAACAACCCCTGCTGCCGTCTGCTGGCCAAAGGGCTCATAGATCCAGGGAATCATTTAGCTTGGAAAAGCCCTCTAAGACCATGGAGTCCAACTGTAAACCCAGCACTGCCAAGCCCCAGACCAAACAGACTGTTCCCAGCTCCACAGGGAACTCAGACACGGCTCAAGAGAGCTCACTGAGCACTGAGGTAAGACAAAAAGGACAAGAAGAAAAAGCTCAGAGGGATTGAGATCCCATTCCATACTTACAGCTCTTTCTCCAGCTGTTGCTGGATGAGTTTTGCTGATTTTGCCATTGTGACATCTGGAGAGAAAATAAAGAAATCAGCTCTTTGGTTGTCAAAATTCAGAACCTGGATCCTCCCCCTAAAGTAAGGCCAGTTCATACTGTGCCCTCACTGGAGCTACCAGGACAAGGACAGCCGTGCCTGCAGTGGGATGAGGGATGCTGCAGCTTCGGGATCGCAGGCATGAATGGGAACAACCCAACAGTCTGGTACAACAGGGAATTAACTTCTTGCTGGGCAGGGAGATACTTCAGAGGATGGGTTTGATGCACCAGCACTCCCTCCTGTCCTGTGCTTTCCACCCGTGACACACAGAGCCATGAAGGCCTCAGGCAATTCCTGACCTAGGGCAGGAAATAACTACAAAACCCAGATCTGATAGTGCCCCAAAACACCCAACTGTTACACAGGGACCCACACTTTCACTGTAGAACTTGAAAATCGAGTCTATTCCAGTAGCTGGGTATTCTGGTTACTCCAGAAAAAAACATGGAACCCTGGCAGCTGGATAACTTTGAACTGCTGAGTGTGTAGGGATAGTTCATTATGCTCCAACTGATCCTAATTCCTGCTGCCTGGAGACTGAGGAACAGCTCTGCACAAAGCCAGCAGAAACAAAAAGCCACACAAAATCCCCCTGCATCACCTACACCCACCCAAAGAGCTGCAACTCTCCCAAGCAGTCCTCCAAACACTCCAGCTGAGCAGTCAGAGTTTAAGCCTAAATCCCAGCCTTCCCAGCTGCAATGCCAGGCTCAGGAGGTGTGGCAGAGCCCTGCAGCAGTGGCCAGGCCCAGCCCAGGTACCTTGCTTGTTGCAGGCGATGAGCAGCGCGGGCGCGTTGCGGAGCACGGTGCTGTCCACCAGCACCTGGTACAGGAACTCTGCCACGTCCTTCACCTCCCGCTGGAAGGCCACGCTGTCCACCACAAACACGATGGCTCTGGGGCAAGAGGGAAGGACAGGGGCTGGGGATGAAGCTCTGCAGTCACCTCCCCCTGTAAGTATTCCAGCCTGGGCCGAGATTTTCACATCTGGTCTCACCCAGCCCAAGGCAGGCTGGCAGCACGGATGAAACACATCCCATGAAATACATCACATGAAATACATCCCATGGCCAGCTCCAGCCCCAGCTCCAGCAGGAATTCTTCCCCTGTGTGCCCCAGGATATCCCACACCCCCCAGACCTCCCTCCTACAGAGGCTTTGCCTCCTGGTGCACCACAAGCACAGGTAAGAGGGAATTCATGGTGGGATTTTTGGGATTGTCCTGTGCAGGGTCAGGAGCTGGACTCGATGATCCTTGTGGGCCCCTTCCCAATCAGGATATTCTATGAAGGCAAAGCAAAAATTAACCAGCAGCACCCCACAGCAGAGCTCTGACTCTGGGGACACCACCAGCCCAGCTCACAGCATTCCCAGCACCATCATTTGGTTTATCCCTTTCCAAAGGTTCACCTGCCCCCTCCTGCCCTGCTGATCCCCTCCAGGTTACCTGGCTGCAGCCTTGAACCTCTCCAGGAACTGCAGCCTCAGGCTCTCATGGCCTGGAAGGTCGATCAAGGTCACATTAGTGCTCTGGAACACAGGCAGGAAGGAATTAACAACACCTGATCTGGGGGTTCCTGTGATCAGGGACTGGGGAAAAGCAGTCTGACCCTGGATTTGTGTCCTGAAGGCACAACCCCATCTGCCCTGACACAGAACATAACAGCCTCGCCTACTCACACACACCAAGCCTCCCCAAATACACCAAACCTCGCTGGGAATAACACAAAAGTGCCTTTGAAAGAGCCTTTTTTAACTGGAGGCTGCAAAGGTTTCCCTTGCCAGGAAAGGGAGCAGCCAAAGCCAGGACATGGGAGAGAACACAGGGCCGAGCAGGGCCACGTCACTGCTCCCCAGGTAAGGCTGCAGGAGCCCCTTCCTTGCATTTCACTGGAAACCTTGGCTAGGATTAAAAGAAGAACCAAAAAAGCACTTTGCAAATAGTTGTCTGCTCAATTAAAGAGACACAAAAATGGGGAAAATTTTTCAAAAATCCTGACATTATTTTACAAAGTTTTTAACCTTTTTATCACCGTTGTTAATAATGACTGAGAAGGTGAAGCCACAAAACGTCCCCCTACTTTCACAATTCACCAGCAGTTAAGGTGCTGCCAGCATTCTGCTCTCCCTGCCACGTGTGCATCCAGCACAGGAGATTTCCAGAATGAAAGAACTGCCAAAAACTGAAAACTACCA